AAGAAAGGAGGGAGGGAGGGAGGAGAGAGGTGAGAGCGCCAAGACCCAAGAGAAAGAAAGGGAGGGAGGGAGGGAGGGAGAGAGGGAGAGCGCCAAGACCCAAAGATGAAAGAAAGGGAGGGAGGGAGGGAGGAGAGAGGGAGAGCGCCAAGACCCAAGAGAAAGAAAGGGAGGGAGGGAGGGAGGGAGAGAGGGAGAGCGCCAAGACCCAAGAGAAAGAAAGGGAGGGAGGGAGGGCGGGAGGATAGAGAGAGGGAGAGCGCCAAGACCCAAGAGAAAGAAAGGGAGGGAGGGAGGGAGGGAGAGAGGGAGAGCGCCAAGACCCAAGAGAAAGAAAGGGAGGGAGGGAGGGAGGGAGAGAGGGAGAGCGCCAAGACCCAAGAGAAAGAAAGGGAGGGAGGGAGGGAGGGAGAGAGGGGAGAGCGCCAAGACCCAAGAGAAAGAAAGGGGAGGGAGGGAGGGAGGGAGAGATGGAGAGAGCGCCAAGACCCAAGAGAAAGAAAGGGAGGGAGGGAGGGAGGGAGGGAGAGAGGGAGAGCGCCAAGACCCAAGAGAAAGAAAGGGAGGGAGGGAGGGAGGGAGAGAGGGAGAGCGCCAAGACCCAAGAGAAGAAAGGGAGGGAGGGAGGGAGGGAGAGAGGGAGAGCGCCAAGACCCAAGAGAAAGAAAGGGAGGGAGGGAGGGAGGGAGAGAGGGAGAGCGCCAAGACCCAAGAGAAAGAAAGGGAGGGAGGGAGGGAGGGAGAGAGGGAGAGCGCCAAGACCCAAGAGAAAGAAAGGGAGGGAGGGAGGGAGGGAGAGAGGGAGAGCGCCAAGACCCAAGAGAAAGAAAGGGAGGGAGGGAGGGGAGGGAGAGAGGGAGAGCGCCAAGACCCAAGAGAAAGAAAGGGAGGGAGGGAGGGAGGGAGAGAGGGAGAGCGCCAAGACCCAAGAGAAAGAAAGGGAGGGAGGGAGGGAGGGAGAGAGGGAGAGCGCCAAGACCCAAGAGAAAGAAAGGGAGGGAGGGAGGGAGGGACGAGAGGGAGAGCGCCAAGACCAAGAGAAAGAAAGGGAGGGAGGGAGGGAGGGAGAGAGGGAGAGCGCCAAGACCAAGAGAAAGAAAGGGAGGGAGGGAGGGAGAGAGGGAGAGCGCCAAGACCCAAGAGAAAGAAAGGGAGGGAGGGAGGGAGGGAGGGAGGAGAGGGAGATCGCCAAGACCCAAGAGGAAAGAAAGGGAGGGAGGGAGGAGAGAGGGAGAGCGCCAAGACCCAAGAGAAAGAAAGGGAGGGAGGGAGAGAGAGAGAGGGAGATCGCCAAGACCCAAGAAAAAGAAAAGGAGGGAGGGAGAGAGGGAGATCGCCAAGAACCAAGAAAAAGAAAGGGAGGGAGGGAGGGAGGCAGGGAGAGGAGGGAGAGGCGCCAAGACCCAAGAGAAAGAAAGGAAGGGAGGGGAGAGAGGGAGATCGCCAAGAACCAAGAAAAGAAAGGGAGGGAGGGAGAGAGGCAGCGAGCCAAGAACCAAGAGAAAGGGAAGAAGGGAGAGAGGGAGAGAGCCAAGACCCAAAAAGGGAGGGAGGGAGGGAGGGAGAGAGAGAGGAAGAGGAGAGAGCCTAGACCCAAAAAGGGAGGGAGGGAGAGAGGGAGAGAGGGAGAGAGCCAAGACCCAAGAGAAAGGGTGGGAGAGAGCCAAGACCAGAGAAAAAATTATTCGACCACTTAAGTCGACAAATCAACTCCTGACCTTCGTGGCAGATCCGGCAAAAGCGGCCAAGGCTGTGGCAACTACTTCCGCTCCTGCAGGAGACCGTGGGCGAGATATGGACGGGTCCCGCGTTCGCTTTGGCGCCTGGTTCAGAGGATGGCGGAGGCGGAGGAGACGCAGCCGACGAACCTGTACGAGATTGCACGTAGACAGACATACTCGCTGATTCCGCTACTGAAGCGACAGGTGGAGAAGACGGATGGGCTAATGCGAGGCCAGTCCAATATCAGTTGACCGCTGTTCACCACCTGCATAGAGATGTACTGGAAGTGACACGGGAGATGCATCTAAAGAAGAGGTGGAATGATTCACGATGAGGAAAAGTTTCAAAATCTATGAAATAGTTCGGAGACTTTTGCTTATGTGAATAACTACATCGAATATAAACAAAAACTTGTATGGGATGATTACTGAATAAAGAAATAAAGAATAGAGGATAAGACTAAAGCGATATCTACATTGGCTTGGCTAACTAAGTATGAAGTTTCAATTAGGTTTGATTATACATGGGTCCCTATGGCAGCTAGGGAGTCTCGCTCAACCACAAAGGAATGAATATAATCATGAACATCGTCAGATCATACAGTAAAAGTACCATTTCTTGGTCATAATCGGTTAATTATGGTTCGGTCTTGCTAGAATATAATTTGCAGAGTTTGTGATCTCCTCCCAGAGAGCCGATTGCAAGGCCAGCGGCGCACACGCGGATTCTTTTCTAAACATTTGCCAAATCGTCTCCCAACACATGACTCATTTTAAAATTTCTTAACCCTTGTTCAAGCTTTCAGTCCCTTGGATTATTACACAGCCTGAAGTCTACAGCATCTCTGATACATTATTATGCTTTCACAACAATCATGCCTACATGAATGCAATACCATTGTTCGTTATACTTTACGTTCTTTTCTATCACATCGGAGTAACAAAGATTGGTAAGATTCGACTCGGGTGTGGTGCCACGGTTCTCTCTATTTTTTTTTTTAGTATGACCGTAGTATGGAGATAATTAAAACAATATGAATATTTACCGTTCCCAGATCGATTCATTACAGCGGTAGCATTTAGCTTCACAAATGATAAGGGTAAACTTACAGTAAAACTTACCTGTATTCATGTTTACTTACGATATACCGCCCCTCGTCCTTCCGCTAGACTGACGCTCCGAAATCCTTATAATATTTTATTCACACACAACAACATGGAACACTTGATTATTAAAATAAAGAACTCGCTAACTGCATGATAGTCTCGGCTCCGAAATCCCTCCCGCCGCTTTGCAAACAACTATAAAAGCTTTTATTTTTCACGTGGCAATGTGGATATTGAAGGTACTAATGTAGCCTAAATAACTGCCATGCTTGGCAGTTTCGCATAACAACCACGGCTTTGTTACACCTATACAGCTCGTTGTACAATTGTTTGTTACTCCCGGCATTTGGATGATAGTCATAGATTGTATATTTGATTTGATTCATAGTAGGACCAAAATTAACGTATATTATATTTCTTTTATTCTTATGATTATTAAATAGTGATTTTTTTTTGTCTTAATTAGAAATCTGGTATGCCATGGTATTGGTTTTTATTTTTGCACTATTCATTTGCGCTCTTCTTTGTACATATATGTTATTTATGCACGGATGGTCTAATTCATCTTTTTCATGTGCCTAATGTTTTATGTAAGCGTTCTGCATTACCAAATTATCATCAAATTCCAGTAATCATCATTGCTTTGTTGCTGTTGTTGTTATTGTTATCATTGTTATTATTATTATTACTATTATTATTATCATTACTATTATTATTATTATTATTATTATCATTGATAATATTGTCATTATTATTATTATTATTATTATTATTATTATTATTACTATTACTATTATTCTTATTATTAATATTATTATTATTATCATTGATAATATTGTCATTATTATTATTGTTATTATTATTATTATTATTATTATTATTATTATCATTATTATTATTGTTATTATTATTAGTATCATTATTATTGTTGTCATTATTATTATTATTATTATTATTATTACTATCATTATTATTATTATTATTATCATTGATAATATTATCATTATTATTATTGTTATTATCATTTCATTATCATTATTATTACTATTATTATTGTTATGATGTATAATGTTTGTCAAGATTGCTATTGTCATTTTTATTATCATTTGTATTATTAGTTACTGTATCTTATCATCAGTATTGTCACTATGAGTTATAATTATGATTATGATGAAGTGGTTATTGTTAGTGGCTATTATATCGTTATCATGTTGTCTATTATTATTGTTATTATTACGGATATTATGATCCGTTATGTGGTTAGTGTATCATTACTATTATCAATCATTATCATTATTTTGTATTATTATATTATTATTATCCCAGTATTATCATCATCATCACTTATATCGTTATCCTGTCTATTGTTATTATCTTTATTATTATTATTATTATTATTATTATTATTATTATTATTATTGTTATTATTATTGTTATTATTATTGTTAACGTCATCATCATCACTTTTACTACTCTTATCATTACTATCATTATTATTAATGATAATAGTGATATAAATCAATTATCATTATATCTCACAGTGCAATATAGGAAAAAGGGAATGAAAACTAGGTACTTGTAAAAGTCAAGATTAAAAAAATATAAGAATCTGTATACAGGAGCTCCTTAAAACCTACCATATTATCTCTGAGAGCCGTCTGAAGTCATTGGAAAAGACAAGGAAAAAGGGAAAATATTACAAAACTTGTTCCAAAACATTATCCATGAAGACGGCTGCACGAGAGAGATGGATTATGAAAACAGCAACGTGAGATCAGAATGCAATAACACGATTTATGAATTACTTATACACTTACAAAAAACTGATGAAAATGTGCCAGAATACCTATGGGAAACATGTCAACAATATGTGTGGAGCAAACTAGGCGAAATAAAGCACAAGATGATTTCATACAGAAGAGTGGACATCGCAATAATAGTTGCAATAACTGCAACAGCAAACAGCGAAAAATAAGAGTATCTCCTTGAGAAACATTTTATAAGCCATGTATTCACAAGAACAGAGGTAAGGTATAGGAGACAGCGATGAGAGAGAGAGAGAGAGAGAGAGAGAGGAGAAGGAGGAGAGAGAGAGAAGAGGTAGGAGAGGCAGAGAGAGAGAGAGAGATAGGCGTGAGAGTGAGGGATGAGAAATAATAAAACATTCAAACTTGCAACTTAAAAACGACACTCGGACGACTATCTCACAGGCAGGCTTCCCCCTAAGAACCACGCAAGTGATCGTTGGAGGTGGAGATGAAGGATGTCTGAGTCTTAGATATAAGAAGGATGGTTCGTGGGACCGAGGGTGAACGATGCTGGCTGTTGACTCGACCCAACTGACGAGTCTTTCTTCCTGAACTTAAAGGCCTCTTCTGGTTCGGGCTGTGGACGACACTTTAACTTCTTTGGGACAAATCAGAGTTTTGATGGGTGAAACATTATTGCCTCTTGCTGAGGGATAAGTTTGTCTCCTGGCTGTTTGGAAGGCGAGTCTCTTTGCTGGATGGTATATCTACTTCCTGGAAGTCTGATCCGATCGATTCTCCACTTTGTACCAGGGCGCTTTTCTGCCTGCGAGAGCTATCCTTATTGACTATATGGAATGCAGTCTCCTTCGCTACTTGATCCTATTGATTACGTGATCTGTCTGTCTCCAAACTGTGTAAAAAAAAAAGTTTTTTCTAGTTCTTTGCTTTTGGTAGGTCTCTGTCTCAGCTTTGGAATGTTCCGTCACTCGACGGTGAGCAAAGTTTTGCTCTTGGTATGGAATGAGAAGAGTCTTTCCCTTTGTTGAGAGAATGCTTAGAAACTTTTCGGGGATGTATCTACAAGTTCTCGACTTGACAAGGTCAGAAGTCTCCAGGCCTTGTTGCAGGAGTGCTGCTGAAGGGTAAGTAGTGAATCTGCTTTTCTCCGAGGAGGACATTTCCCGAGGACAAGTCCGGCTCTGGCTCACAGGGACATGTGATTAGTCGAAGTGAGGCTCTGTCCTCCCCCGAAGAGACTTAGTTCGTCGGACTTAGCTAGGGGACCGGGGATCCCCTAAATGAGGATCGATTGTTGGCTTGCGGTGCCACAGCGCCACCGCAGCATCAGGGAAAGGGCTTCGGAGAGGAAGGAAAAAAAAAAAGGGCTGCGGCGCGTCACGGTCCCGCCCGGGTGCGATGTGTGTACGTGCCGGATCCTAGGCGGGTAGAAGGGCCGGGGATAACCGCGGCCTACTGGGGGCAAAGAAGGGCGACGAATAGGCTGTGGTAGTGCGGGGATGGCGCCACCGTAGGGCGGGGGAAGCGTGGGTCTCCAGAGTAGTGGAGGGGAGTTCTTTATTGGGTAAGGGGGAGGGGCAGGTGTTAGGGTCCCGCCGGGGTGGCGTAGGGCGAAGCGGGAGTAGGCGGAGGGTTAGGCAGAGGCGGTACGGTAACGGCGAAGGGCGAGGGCGTGTTTATGGCAATGGCGAGGGCGAGGGAGGTGCGCGACCTTCCTTATCCAGCGGAGAAGGCCGTTGGGAGATGAGATTGCGCCGGGACGAAGAGCGAAGGCGGCGTGACGGGCCTCGGCCGGTAAGGTCGTCGGGTATGCGTCGTGATAACCCTGGGAGCGGCGTCCGTCACCCTCTTGGGCTCTGTAAGCATGTCATTCCTGGCAGTCTGAGGGGCGAGGAAGACGTCTGATCACGGGTCGGGAGACGGGTCACCGTCGTCAGGGGAGGAAAGGGTGTGATAGCGGGACAGGCGCAGGAGGAGGGGGGCGGGAGAGGGGGGCTGAGGGGTGGCGATGCGGGAGGAGGCGGGAGGAGAGGAGGAGGAGGGGGCGCCGGCTCAGAGGTTGTAGGAGGGTCTTGCGGGGGTAGTAGATCGGCGCGGCGTTGGCGTGGACGGGATGGCGTCGGGTAACAGGGGACTTGTAGGTTGTGATATGAGGGGGTTGGTCGGGAGGAGGGGGTGGCGGGTGGTGGGGAGAGGGCGGTGGAGGGGTGGTGGAGGGTGGTGAGCTCCGGCAAGATACGGATGGGAGTGGGGTGGTGAACAGGCTCTCGTGGTGGAAGAACTTGGAGTGGTGGGCCTC